ACTAATACAAAATAAATAAATATATCCAAAAGAATCACCATAAACAAAATATATCTTTTAGAAATGAAGGAGCACTATATCTAAAATCAGTATGAGTACTTCTCAAAATAATAATAATAATAATAATAATAATCAAAATTATAAGAACATTACCCTAAAACAAAACTCACTGCTCACATCCGCTGTGCACCACAACTCATCATCATTATGCAAATCACCACTGAATAATGTTCCAAATAAAGCTTAAGTAAATACAATAAATATCAAAAATATTTTGTTTAATTTGAAACTATGAGTAAAAATATGACCATCTATTTTATTTTCAGCTCAATGTTAAATAGTTAGGTTAACCTTAATGTCCACATTAATCCATTTAGTGTTAAATCCTCAACCCATTTGACTAACATGAAATAAAAATGGGTGATAACATGGAACCAATTTTTTCCTTAACCCCCATTTGATTTGATAAAGAGTGAGAGCTTTGTTGGTGATGGTGGGAATGATTGTGGGACGAAAAAAAAAAATCCAAATTTGTATGGAAAAGATAAGTTAATTATTGATTCTATTCACAAATAAATTCAGTACTGACAAAGTATCCTAATTTCTAAAATTTTGGGCTGAGATCTAAGTATTGAAAATTGGAAAAGAAATTTTAAATCACAATAAGGAAAATGAATGAGAATTGGTACTTATGATCAATGAGATTGCAAAAATGAATTTATCTCTATCCAATTGACCAAAGTAGGTCAGGTCATTTTTGACAATTGTTTTTCTTGTACAAAAAACCTAAGTTAAGGTTTGATTTGTTTTTGTATAATTTATTTTTTAAATTCTGACCATAATTTATTTGTTTAAGGATTCAATCTTGTTCTGATATATATATATATATATATATATATATTTAATGCATTCTCTTGGCTAAATTAATAATGTCCACTCTTAAAAGGATGCACATCATGTTAATAAAGTTTGTTTATTAATTTTTATTACTCCTTAAAAAAGAAAAAAGGATGAACATCATTAGACAATTATGAATTTTTATGATGAAAATTACCAATGTTTGTGGTGTGTGTTAAAGTCAATTTGTGGTAAAATTATAAATTGCAAATTTATTGTGTGTGCACCAGTAAAAAAAATTACATGACAAAGTATGTTTTAGATGAAGTTTAATCTCGTTTTTTTTTTCTTTTTCTTTTTGTGTGTGTGTATGTGTGTAAATTTCATTAAAACATTTTAACAAACACTTAATAAGCAAGGAAGATAGAATGGTTATCGAACAACCAAACGATACTAAGGGCATAACAACTATTCAATAGAGTAACTCAATACAATAGTCCCACAATAAATATACGTATAAGAAAAATCATACAATAGTCCAACTCTTCATATATATGTGTATATAACATGTATAAGAAAAATCTTACAATAGTCCAACTCTTCATATATGTGTGTATATATACATAGACAATATATACGTATAAGAAAAATCAACAAAACCCATAAAAGTATATCCAAAATCCTACATGCATCTAGAAAAAAAAAAACAGAGGGAAAATCCTCACAGTTTGATTTTGGAAAAAAAAAAATTATAATCAATATATATACATACAATAATCTATTAAGAAAGAGATGAGAGTATTATCTTTACTTTGCAAAGAAAACCCTACTAATCTAGTTGCTAAACACCCATAAGGTGGGTTTCATTGAAAACAGAGGTGGGTATGTTAAGCGCCAAAAATTTTTAGAGAATCTCATGAGAGAGAGAGAGAGAGCTAACCTATTAAGCATTGAGAAACTAATGAGGTCGTGACATTGAAAATCTTCTCCTCCGAACAAACCCACTTTCTGCGAAGTCACTGATCTGCTATGTATTAGGTTTTCGGGGGAATGAGTGACTGATAGGGGTAAGGCCGTGACCGTTGCCAGCAAGATTAAAGATGAAGAGTGAGCTCTGAGAGTGAGAGATGAGGGAGACAGATCAATTTTGATTTTTGAATGAGACAGAGAGAGAGCTAGCAGAAGAAGAGAAAGAGATGGAAGGAAAGAACGTATATCCACCGTAGGATGTGAACAAACAATCTCAACCATTGAAAGATAATTTGTCTCTTGGACATTTTGTAGCTGTTGGATTGAATCTTGAATAATTCTTACAAGGGGAATGTACTCTCTTTTATAGAGAGAATTTGAGCATTGGATGCCCACTGACAGTGTGATGCATTGTACATTATAAAATATAAAGCTAAAGCTATACACTAACATGATATAAAGCTAAAGCTATACACTAACAGACATAATCATACACTAGCATGCTAAAGCTAATCATACACTAACAGCCCCTCTCAAACTCAAGGAGGATAGGTACTAGCCAACTTAAGTTTGGAGAGAGTAACAAAACAGGAAAATAGGATAGAAAACATTGTATGGTCGTGTCGAACCGTTGGTGAAGACACTGTATGGTTGTGTCAGACTGTTGTAGGAGCTAACCAGAATCAATGTCGGGACAGTTTACGAGGTCATGTCGGACCATTGTAGAAGCTGACCGGAATCAATGTCGGGACAGTTTACGGGGTCATGTCGGACCATTGTAGAAGCTGACCGAAATTAATGTCGGGACAGTTTACGGGGTCATGTCGGACCGATGTAAAAGCTGACCGGAATCAATGTCGGGACAGTTTACGGGGTCATGCCGGACCGTTGTAGAAGCTTGTGGTGGTGCACCAAGGAGGCGACTTAGGGAGTGCGCCATGGGATGGCTTGAGTGGTTCCCATGGTGTGTAACCATGCTTACCATGATATATGTATAACCCCCTCTCAAACTCAAATAGGTGTGAAGATAGAAAACTATTTGAGGTTGAAATAAAGTGAGTGATAAAGGGGATCAAGACAGTTTACGGGGTCATGTCGGACCGATGTAGCAGACACTGTGTGGTCGTGGCAGACCGTGGGAGCCCAAAAGATAGAGATATATAGATATATATATCACACCCTCAAAAGTCGTGCCCAATCTATCAAAAGGTGTGCCATCAAAAGGCGTGCCCAATCCATAAAAAGGTGTGCCGGACATGATGGCGAGGCGCGTGACTACCTTGGCTTGCGAGCCCGTTTTGTCGTCTGGCGTCAAGTGGCGCGCGATGCGCGGATCGGCCCTGGCTATTTAAACCAAGGTTGAGGCGGAGGCTGTGCAAACCAGTCTGAAACCTCTGAACATTGGCATTCTGAAACACTCTGTAAACATTCTGTAACCAACCCTTCTCTGAAACACTCAGCAATCCATAACATGGCCTCGTCTTCCCGTTCAGCTACCCAGAATATGGCCTCTTCGTCCCGTGGTCTGCTCACTCTCTTTCCCGACCTCAACGAGTCAACAAGAGAGATAACTGGAGCTACCCAGAACATGGCCTCCTCTTCCCGTGGTCTGCTCATGCTCTTTCCAGACCTGAACGAGTCCACAAGAGAAATAACTGGTGCGGTGGCCAGTGAACCTCAACCAAACACCTCTGGTTTTGCTCCGTTGAACTTTCCGATGCGGTCTGTGGAGCAAAAAATGGCGGTGCAAACGGATATTGAGGCCAATCAGTATACTTTGAAGTCATGCGTGAAGACCATGACTGCGGTCACAAACTTGTCGCACCGGCTTCAGAGTAGGACAAATGAGGTGCAGCAGTTAAACGCCCAACTGGCTCTGCTCCAGCGTATGTATAAGGATGCGCGAGCAGAGAAAAGTGTGCTAAAGGCGGAAAATAAGGAGCTGGAGTGGAAGGCCACCGTGATGTTCCGATTTGGAGGTCCGCCATATGCTGCAGTGGAGGAGTATGGGGGAGTGAACGTGCTCGGCGGCGTGGAAAAGTAGAGAAGAAAAATCCCGCCTATGGATGTGGTGGTTTTTTTGTATTTTTTTTTTTTTTTGGTGTGTTTGTGTTTGGTTTTTGTTTTTGTTTTTTTTTTTTGTTTTTTTTTGTTTTTTTGTTTTTTTGTTTTTTGTTTGTTTCTGTAAAATTGTGATCGGGGTTGATCCCGTCATGAAAAAAATGATAAGTTTGTAGAATGAAAACCGAGATGGTTGTGAAGGGTTTTTTTTTTTTTTTTTGCAAGGAAGGGAATCAAAATAAAAAAAAATTGGGGATGGTGATGATGAATATATAATGATGAATAAAAATAATAAAGGAGGGAGTGGGGAACAGGGCGAATTGAGAGCACCAATTAAGCTTTATAATAAAAAATAAAGTTTGGGTGGTGGATGGGTGTGATTAAAGAAATTAGAAGTTAGAATAATGAAAAGAAAGGTTGGGCGGTGTGATTAAAAAAAAAGAAAAGGAAGGAGGATAGGAGATAGGAAAGTGCATGTTGCAGAAACAAACGATTGCCGTGAGGTTTGGGCTGGGCCTTTGACCAGACAAAGACTGGCTGTTGCTCTTGGGAATCGATGTTCAAAAGCTGCAAAGGTGAACTCGAGTTATGAAAAAGCTTTGCTTCAAGAGGTGGATGATGATGAAGCAGATTCAGCAGCGGTGGCCATGTGCCCAACAGAGTGGGATGGAAGCTTGACCAAGGGAGCTTATAATAATCCATGTGTGTGTGTTGGGGTGAAGTGTATGAAGCTCTGTGAGAGATAGAGAGAGAGGTTGATGCCGAGAGTGAGAGAGAGCCGTGGGTCTCCTTGGGTTGATGCTAGGAGAGTGTAAAAGAAATTGAGAGAGAGATGTGAAATTGTGTGTTGCTCTGTGGTCATGCATGGTGACCGAGAGAGAGTTGATGAGGGCATGGTTTGATCAGGCCTCCCATGGCTGAAGGGGAGTGAGACTGAAACCGACGGAGCGGACACCACAGGAGGTGTGGCCGGAGATTGACCTCCAACGACGGCGCCTGGAGGCCACGGGCTATGAGCAAGCAGCGGTACAGTAACCGAGTCGAAAACACCAAAAATAGCCGACTTGAGAGTGGGCTGTTAGTATTAAAAACTGATTAAAACGATCATTATCATCAACAAATGAAGTTCAGCGATGGCTACAATGGCGTCGAGGGCCAAGATCACTAGGCTTCTCAGCAAACTGACCCACAAAACTCCGAGTTTAGCTTCTGGGTTTCGCTCTAATGGCGCTAGAGGGCAGATTCGGGTCAACCCATTTGGTGTTTCCGGGTTTCCATTATCATCTTCGGCAGCTCCTCTGGAATCGAACGTGATGGGTTCGAAAGATTACGAGGATTACAGGAGATCGCTCTCTTGGTTGGCACTCTTGTTGTTCCCTCTCAGCCCATGGCCCAGATTTACAGGCAGATTGGTGATAAATATGGGGTTGAGTACTCCGAAGCTGAGATATTGAACAGATATATGTGGGCTTATGAGCAGCCTTGGGGTAGATCTAGACTAAGATATGTTAATGATGGGCGACACTGGTTTGATGCTATGGCAGTTTCAGCTGAAGTTGAAGCAGAGAAGCCAAATCCCACCATATTTCTGAGAGCTTGTGAGTTGTTGGCAGTAGAACCTGAAGATGTCGTTCATGTAGGGGATGATCGTAGAAATGATATATGGGGTGCCAGAGATGCAGGTTGCGATGCTTGGCTTTGGGGAAGTGATGTTCATTCACTTGTAAATCCTATGATTCAATAACCACAGATGCACAAAAGAGGAAAAAGAAATAATTGTAAGTACAAAATCCTACCATAAAGCTTCAAACGTTCTAATATTAGACATAATGAGTATCTAATACAAAATAGCGTTCTGAACCAACTTTTATCTAAAAACCTGGTTTGTTGAAAAGTCCATTTGTTCTACTTATTTGCAACCCATATCAACCCAAACATCAACTCTTGGCAACTGAAATTCTATTTGAGATGTAAGATTTATGTATAAAGAAAGAGAAAGAATTGTGTATTGAAATGTTGTATTGAATGTTGTATTGAATAATTCTTACAAGGGGAATGTACTCTCTTTTATAGAGAGAATTTGAGCATTGGATGCCCACTGACAGTGTGATGCATTGTACATTATAAAATATAAAGCTAAAGCTATACACTAACATGATATAAAGCTAAAGCTATACACTAACAGACATAATCATACACTAGCATGCTAAAGCTAATCATACACTAACAGGGGGAATGAGTAACTGATAGGGGTAAGGCCGTGACCGTTGCCAGCAAGATTAAAGATGAAGAGTGAGCTCTGAGAGTGAGAGATGAGGGAGACAAATCAATTTTGATTTTTGAATGAGACAGAGAGAGAGCTAGCAGAAGAAGAGAAAGAGATGGAAGGAAAGAACGTATATCCACCGTAGGATGTGAACAAACAATCTCAACCATTGAAAGATAATTTGTCTCTTGGACATTTTGTAACTGTTGGATTGAATCAATCTAACGGTTCACAATTTGACAAAGGAACAAAAGTCCCATCAAAATTCAAAAACTATCCTTCCTTATTATATAGATATATATTTTATTTTTATTTTTAAATTTTTTTTTAACTAAATATAACGTTAACGGGAAATTATCTTGATACCATGGGAAGTTTGGTTATTTTAATTGGCATATATTGATATATTTTTTAATTGATTTGATAATTATGAGAAAAAAAAAGTAAAATAATTATGAATTAAATGTGCTATTTTATTTTAATTATTTTAGTATATTTTGTCTTTATTAACTATTTTAGTTCAAATAATCCTTTTCAAATATTTTGTCAGTGAGAAATAATTAAAATTATAAATTTTTTTATTTGTTTGCAAATAAGTTTTTTTGCATCCATTGTTGTGTTATTCTCCCTTATTTTAATTAGATTTTTTAATATTATATGAAAAAATAATAGAGAAAGGAGTTGATTTATTGTAATAGTTTTTTTTTTAAAATTTTTTGACTATTTTTTTATGTTGCGAAAACAACATATAATTAGAACGGTTACGCTGTAATAACTTGAGGACCCATGAGATCTATCATGAATCTTGTTTCAATTATCTAAATTGCTTATTTTGTAAGGTTATTTATGCATATCATCGATGAAAAAATAAGTTGATCCAGTAATCCTACTCTTTTTTCATTTTATTGTATTCATCTCTAAAAAAATAAATAGTTTTTTTAAAATAATATTTATCATTCATTTTTTTAGATACAAATATGATAAAATAAAAATATTATAATTATCAAATTGACTTAAATTTCTCCATGAATTATATATGTTAGAGATCTATAAAAGATAAATGATTTAGATCATCAAAACAGAATTATGATGAGCCTTAAATGCCTTTGAAATTCTCTTGAGTTCTCTCAACTGACTAGGAATAAGTCAGTTCGATACAACAGATGTCTGTGCTCTTTTAATTATAATACATTGCATTCCGTGCTCATTAAAACCTTGTTATTGCATAGGCACAATCAACATAAAGTGATTCTCGAAATATAAGATAATTACTAGCTAATCACAACCATTTGGAGAAAATTATTTAATGCTCTTTGAGTTAAGCTTGTGGTACTTCGATTTTTTTTTTTTTTTTTTTTTTTTTGGGGGGTACTTACTCGTAGGTTCGAAGAAGCTTGTCAAGTTCCATGACACATTTCATTGATTAGTTTCCGTTTACCTAATCATCATGCATTGTCTACAACAATCTCGACTATCCTCGGCAAGCTTGAGCGGTAAATGAATGATTGTAGCATCTCAAGCCACGTCAAGGACAGACCACTTGAGTGGACAAACCTGCACTCGAGCAAAAAATTCAAATTGTCAAGACATCAAGCTTCAGAAAAAAGTATTGGATGGTTTGAAAGACTGCTTGAGTGCTTACTCTTGCAATTGAGCAAACGAGAAAGGTAACGGAATTCCTACCTCAAAGTGAATGAGACTAATGGAGAAGCTTTAAAATCTCATAATGGTCTAAAATAAAATCGGGCTTGGTGAAGTTGAAGCTCTCGATGTGCTCTACGACTTTAACAAATGAGTTGTGCTGCAAAACTCCCTATAGGTAGATGATATCAAGGCTTGAATATGGATTTTGGACACACACCCACACACCCACATATGTATAGAGAGAGAGAGAGAGAGAGAGAGAGAGAGAGAGAGAGAGAAAAGAAAAAAAAAAGAGAGAGGGTCTCAAATTTTGAAAAAAAAAGAAATAGAAAACATGTCTACAAAATATGCTTTTAACATAATGTTTTTATTTGAAAAGCATATTTTGTAAATATGTTTTTTGAGTCTACAGGTATAGGCTTGGGAAGCCAGCAGCGCAATATAGTCCATGGTATGAACCAGTTTTGAAAACTGTGAGGCTTGCAATTAGTATAAAGAAATTCGAGTATCACGACTTTCATTTTCAGATGTCATTATGAAAGTATCTGAATTTGACAAGGATCACCCTGGTTACATATCTTCCAACCCAGAGGCAGTAGAGAGGTACGTGGTAGTTCATGGACAGATTATACTTCAGCAATTTGCTGAGCTTCCAGATGATACTATTAGGAAGTGTGCTTTTGTGACTGGTCTTCATGATAAAATGGAGGAAAGACATCATACAAAGTGGTTAGTGAAGAAAAAGGCGACTCTAGAAAAGGAAGCAAATTTGAATCCAAAAGAAGCCATGGCACCTGGGACCTCAAAAAAAAAAAAAAATACAATGCCAGCCACAATGACAAGACTGATCAATAGAATATGGGGAGAATATTACTCCAACTACTCATCAGAAGACTCAAAGGAGAGTGATACATGTGCCATGAAGGAGGATGAAATTGAGGAACAAGACGAAGGTGAAGAAGATGAAGAAGAGGATGAAGAAGAGAAGGGATCAGTTGGTGGTTCTGTCCTTTCGACAGGTGACTCAGAGGAATATCCCCCAATCTATTTCGTCGAGTACATGTTTGAAGAATTAGATGGGAGAAAAGTGGTTCACGGAAGATTGTTGATGAGAGAATATCAAACTGTTCTTGGGAACACTACTAATGAGAGAGAGGTATTTATGACAAATGATTGCTTGGAATCTATGTTACACGGACTTGGGTGCGGGTACGTATCTAGGGGTCGGGTACTTCAAAATTAAAAATTGAGGATACGTGGATATGGATCCAAACGAGGATATGGGTACGGGGATATGTTAAATATTTAATTTTTAAAATATATTATATATTATAAAGATAAGTTAAGGGGAATTGACCGGTAAATCTCATTTTATGGACTTGTAATCCATAAGGTCCTGAATGTTTTCTTAGTGACTGGGTGGTCCCTTAATTTGTTTGTTGACAGTTTTGCCACTGCTAATATTATTGATTGACATTTGGTGTGGGTTTATATGTGATAAGCTGAATGGGTGTTTGTATGTCACACTGATCGAAAAAGCACACTAATGCTTTTTTTAATTTAGTAAGTGTGTGACACTCAAAACATGAGACGTGGGTTGTGACGTGAACACAAGTAATTTGACTCATTCATTTTTTTTTTTTTTTTTTTGACGTGGGTTGTGACGTGAGCGCAAGTAATTTGACATTTTTTTTTGTGTGACGTGAACTAAGTAATTTGACATAGTTTGACATGAGTAATTTGACACGAGTAATTGTGTCACGTTCGGCTTTCCCACAGTTTGACCATTGTTTTCCAATTGCCATTTGTGACGTTTTGACATGAACCTTACCATTGACCATCAATGGCGAACCTTACCATTGACGTTTCGACGTGAACCTTACCATTCACCATCACGTGAACACAGTCTAGCGATACGAATTGTGGGTTGTTTGTGAAGCTGAAAAATGGGTACACATTGACCATCAATGGCGCAACCTTATCATTGAAAAATGGATACACATTTACCATCAATGACGTTTCGACGTGAACCTTACCATTGACGTTTCAGCGTGAACCTCACCATTGACCATCACGTGAACACAGTCTAGCGATACGAATTGTGGGTTGTTTGTGAAGCTGAAAAATGGGTACACATTGACCATCAATGGCGACCCAGTATCCTTCAAAAATTGCAGCAATGGACCCATTATTGATTGGTGATTTGGATCGAAAGATGAGGCCGAGGGAGGGTATGAATTCATCAAAACCGAAGCTGCGTGAGATGTTGAGAGCTTGATTGTGTCTGATAAACTCAAAGTTTGAAGAGCTATGTACAGATTGTTCATGGCAGGGACTAAATAGGGCGTGTAAAATTGGTCTTTGAGGAGGATTTCGTTACCTATGACAATGTACTTGATTTGGGTGGGGGAGATGTTGGAGAAGATGTTGGATTGGAGCCATTGGAGAGAGGGGTCTATGGTGGTGGTGGCGAGGTCATGCCTGACACGATTCGACAATTTGGCAATGTGCGCGTGCGTGTGGTGGTTTGAGCCAAAGGTCACGTTGTCCATAACTCCTTCCTTCTACAAACTTGGGATGTCCCTTGCATTAGCACGTCCCAATATAATTTAGGGTAAAATACGTTTATAATTTATTTTAATAATTTTTAAATTTTTTTAATTTATTATCAAAATACATATGTATTAATTTGACATTATTTTTATTCGCAAAACAACCTGAGAAGTTCAAAATACATATCTACTTCACGAGCTCACTGATCCCCCTCTATCACAATTTGGAATATTCCATCGAATTAAATTCTTCATTTGGTTTCCTATCTCTTTCGCAATATA